TTGCTATTACTAATTAACATACATAACTGTGAATGAGTAAGGCTATTTTATGAAAACACAATTATATATATTTATGTCCAAAAACATATCATCACATAACCTCATTTTCATTTATGCCATCTCCACTAGCCTAATCTTCTAGCATTTGAGCCTCCATATCACCCTGACTAAAACTATAGGCTCTACTGGGCCAATCATGTACTCATTAATTTGAACACACCTTCAATAGTAGAATCACACGGCTAAAGGTGTTTTGACCTATCGACGGACTATAGTTTCCCTTTATCACACAAGATCGAGGCATCATTACTCTAACATTGCATCACATAAATGTTAAGGAGCACAAATCTCTAGCATTTTACCCTATATGGATACTAAAGAGATAATATCTGAAACCACACCTTACTAGGCACTAAGGAGATGAATCCTTCAACATCATAACAAGTCAAAATATCAATTTACCATCCAAAATTCTAATCACGCTAATTTACTAATTTTATTCCTAATTAGTGAGTAGTTTCAAAATTAGAAATTTAGGATGTTACAATGGACATCCCTTTAAACATTATGAAATTAATTCTCATAATTGTTAATCTATTCCAATGGAATCATTTGAGCTAGCTCTTGTGTCGGCAAGTATCTTGGGATTTGGATGATCAATGAGTTACTTGGTTTGTCAGCAACTATATACAAGGCATCCCTAGTTGAATTAGGGAAGTTAAGATCAAGTGAATGATCTTGAACCTTGTAAATCATCTAGTAGTGGAGGGTGGTGGCCATGGTGGCCTCTAGCTATTGTTTAGCTTCATGAATCTGGATTTAGACTTTTAGTCTAGTGGAAAGAGTGGGGTCAATAAGTTTGATGTTAAAGTTTGGAGCTATGGTGAGAACCATGCTCCCTTGGTTGAGAGTAGTCAACATAGCACCAATTAGGGCGTTGTCATATGACCTATAAGTGGTGTCAAGTAGGGCTACTTTGGTTGAGGCTACAATACCCTTTCTCTCGTAAAGGGTAACTAGGTAGATGGCTCCAACATAGAGGTGTGTATATCCTTTGTTGATTTAAGTGTCTATCAACAACCTAGCAATCTTAAGGGTAACATACTATTCAGCTATGGTGGCCGGAAGATCGCTTTAGTCGAGCTTAAAGGATTGGATAACCTCTTTTGGTTGAGGATGATTGGTGTGAATCAGAGATTTAGGTGAAAGAGTTTCCTCTATAGTATAGCTTGTAAGGGTTAAGAAAAGGAAGTTCTGTAGGTGAGACACAGGCCTTTTTTAGTATAGTAGAGTACTTTATAAAGTTTTCTATTTTATTTAAGAGGGTTCTTTTTACAAAAGATGGAAGATGATCAAACAAGAAAACACTAAAAAAAGGCGAATGAGTTCAAGAAAAGTAGTTGAAATTTTTTAAAATTTCACTCATGTTTTTTGGGTTCTCCTTACTCACTTTTTATCAATAGTATTCTGCTTTTGTCAATAGGATTATAGCTCTAATACCAATTTAACCAATTAATTTTAACATAAATCAATTGGTTTTGAGAGGCAAAACAAATTTTGACAAGCCAAAGCTAATAGAGTAAGTTCGAGAGGGGTCTCCTTGGAGTGCTCATCATTTCTAATGATATTTTTATAGTCACTAGTAAAATTATTTTTATTTTTATTTTTATTTTATACTCCATCTAATTTTATTTATAAGGTCAAAAGAAAGAATTATTAGTCCTATTTATAAATTATATTATTAATATTTTATTAATAGGTTCCTATTTCACCTGCCATTATAAATGTTGGTGAGAGAAAGCACTTATTCAGTTTTTAATAAAAGACAAAGTTAACATACTTGACACTTATGAAGAAATATTAGTTATAGATTGTTTGATTTCTTTCAAAAAATTTCTCAAAAAAATTCCCCCAGAATTCTCAAATAAAATTCCTAAGAGATTCTAGATGCTGAAATTTCTTGTGTAGCTTGTTCTGATTGCAATCTTCAAATAGAAAGGAGAATTAAACCATTTTACTACTACCGATGTTCAATTTATCATAGCGTTTCTTTACCAATGCTTCAGTGTTTTGCATTAGTTTCCATGTGTATGCAAATAAATTCACCAATTCGAGTATTGTAAAGTCCCTACTCATTCTAGACTTTACCATTTCCAATCACACAATCATCAAACAAAATCATATAATATCATAGTAACAACGCTCAAATTGTTTTCAAAATGCGGGATCCTAATGTCTTAAAACATATATTTAAATAAGAGGGCTAACGAAAGTGCAAACGCAATCATACAACTTAATGAAATGCAATATTTTCACCCTAAAAAAGGGTCATGCACGGTGGCTCATACCACCATGTGTTGCGACATGTGGTACAGAGCCACAAGCCCTATTCATCTTTATGCCATGCGCTGCAGCATGGCACTCAATGTGCTACAATGTATATGACAACAAAATGGTAGTTCAACAGGTGAACTTTTGCAGCGCGCCATTTCTACATCTAACATCCGATTAGAGTAATTTAAGTGTCTACACAAAGCTTATAATATATTCTAGCTAATGAGATAAGTTTGAACTCAATCTAATGGTCTAATGTAAAATTGAACACTCAATATGCAAAAAGTCACTTTTTCTTTTAAAACTCACACTCTAAGTACTCAATTCTCATTCCTTATCCTATTAGCCACTTCGAGCTTTAAACTAAGTCCAAAAGGACTACATATACTTGATTGATACTTCTAATCACATATATCACAACATTTACTCAAATTGGTCTCTCAACACCACATTACACACTTGTGAATTTATATGAGGCATAACACATACAACACATATACACATAGATTTGTTCCACTTTAAAACATTCAACTCTTATATATGGAGCTTCGCCTCACCATATGGCTAGAAATCACAAATATACTTGACTCTTCCAAATGGGGCTCAGTCACCATTTGTGTCAAATTCTTACTGTAAACATAATTCACAATCAATATCACATTTAATTCACATATATACAAGTGGAATAAGTTACAAAACAACATACACTTGCTTGAATCACATCTAGGCCTACCTGCATACCCCATCACTAGGGCACCTTTGGTAAGATGCAACATCATATATATATATACAAGTAAGTTTTCATTCACAATTTATATACATAATCATATTCTTATATACATATACACTTATGCATCCTAGTTGGCAATTTAACTCTAAATACAACTTTATTCATTCATTTACGCTAATGGTAGTCATACCACTACCAATCAAGGCTATTTTTTTCTTACTTCCTTTCCTAGCCTTCTCGTACTCTCTTCACTTATATACAAAAGTAATGGAGTGACACATATGTTTCAGTAACTCGGAGGTTACCCCAATTATCGGTTAGTAAAAAAAATCATAAACAAGAGATAAAGTAGCATGTATTTCGATAAAAACATTATAGCATGCATATACAAGAATTCATTTTCATTAATTTTATCATGCTCATGCTAATGCGTTCTTGGTTCTATCTAGTGGAGCAATCTCTACGCTCGGACTAGAACTTCCAGTCACATAGAACAGGGCCCACCATACCACTGCTCAGATCAGATAATCCTCTTTGCATATGGGTCATCTCCTAGGTTTGTCATGGTGGAGTCAAGCTCTATACTCTGGATCTTCAGGATTTCCTAGCCTTATACAGGGTAAGATGACGACCCCTTACCTTAGTCTAGGGTATACTCATAGATCATTCCATATCCTAGGTCCATCCTGACGGAGTCAAGCTCTACGCTCTAGATCATCAAGACTTCTTGGACTTACTCAGTGTAGGGCTGCATCCCCCTACTATAATCCAAGGTATACTCGCAGATGCAATACACATGTCTGCATATGTCTCTTCAAATTCATTCCATACATGACCTACACACCTACATGCATACTCTTTCACAATGCTACTACTTTATCAATTCATAACACAATGCATACAGTTATATGAAAATACTTATAAATAATTTCACAAATGAACAAGTAAAAGGGTTACTCAAGTTACATTTAACCCTTACTACTAAGGGTTACCAATCACGTTAAGCTCCCCAAGAGTGTAGATTCTCACGACCAACATCACAGGCACTCAATCTACACAACACAGTATCTCTCAATCAATTTCCAACACTTAACATAAGTATTGATTGCTAAACCAAATCCCTTAACATACAAAATGATTCAATTAGGACCCTTTTGAATTCATTACTCTACTATCTATAGTCATTGGCCCTATAGGCTAGTCAAATGGCAATAACAACCTCCGAACCCATTTATTCACCCAATTTCACCATTTCAACATAACTATTTAGGCCATATGAGCTTAAACTCACAAAGCTAAATCATTTAACTCTAGACTAGTCACAAAACCTTAGTTCTGTATTTGATAGCTCTTTTTAAACATTTCTTTTAGATTTCAACACCTCAAAACTTCCTTATTCGATTTCTCAATTGATCAAATTCAATAAAAATGGATAGAAAATAAGCTTAAGGCTGTACAATACTTACCTAATAAGTCATTAGTCGAAGTTGATTCCCAATCATCGGATAATCAATGCCCTAGCGGACATGAACCTCTTAACCTCTCCAGCTGTGTTTTCCCTTCCTTCTCTTTTGATTTTCATGATCTGACTTAGCCTTTTAGTAAAACACTCTGCACCATGCGCCACGGCAAACACACACTACTACAAAAATAATTATATTTGACACTTAAAATTTGACAATTATTTAAAAAAAAACGTCATATAAACTGAGGTAGAGATTGAAAAAATTATATATTTGATGATTGTTTACAAAACTATCAAATATTGATATTTAGAACTTTACAATTAAATAAAAAACCATCATATAAATAAGGATAGAAGCTATGGGAAATACATATTTAACGGTTTTCTATAAAAACGTTAAATGTCAAAAGCTAAAAATTTGATACTTAAACAAAATAACCGTGAAATATTCGTCACTAGAAAACATAAAATAAGCGCAGACCCTAGCTTCATCACGAGTTCCTTCTTCTCCGTGAATTCTCTCTTCTTCTCCCTTGCCGTAGCACCACTCTATGGCCGTGTTCTCTCTTTTTCTCCCTCATCATCACATCGCTGCTCTAGATCGCGCGCTTTCTCTCTTCTCCTTCTCAGTCACACCACTTCGTCATTAATCTTGAGCTCATCATCACCTTTGATTCAAGCTCAATCTTCTTCTAAAAAGAGGGCTTCTTCCCCTGTCACTTCTATTTTCTCAAAAAACCAATAATCTGTTCGATTTGATGAATTAATTAGATGCTGCATCTCTGGTTCTGCATCGCTCTGTACTCACGATACGTTTTGTTTCTTTTGCGCTGTGATATTTTGAACAGTAAGACTCATGCTGAATGGCAGCCATTTAGTTTAGGCATTCATATTCTAGATTCACTGATGCCATGCTATTTGACAATGGAAAGAAAAATTAGATTTATTGCCATTTTTATGAACAGTTGAAATTGAAGTTTTTACTTTGTATTTGATTTTGTTTCTAATCCATTTTTTCTTGTTTGGCAGCTCATAAGGTTGAGTCAAATCAAGTTCACCAAACCATCCTTGCACGATTTGTATCATAGAATGATAGTTTGTGCCTTTTTAAGTTATATATATTTTTCACAAATGAATATAGTTATTTTCTTGTATAGGTGCCTTAATTTAGATCTCAAGGTATCTTGCTATTGTGTCTTGTTTTGTGCCTAATAACTAAATGCGTATGTTATATAATATTGCCTTAAGGGAGAAGGATGCCTTCTTTTTTGGCTCTGTTTTGATGCTTTTGTAAAATCTTATAAATTTAAACTAATCTAATCTTAAAATTTTTTGGGAAGGTCTGGTTGAAAATGATTGCTGAGTTTGTTCATGATTTCTTAATTTGACTATTTTTATCTCATCACGCACGATGTTATTGTTAGAATGCTATATAGGAATAGTTGGTTTATCAGATTTTGTAAAATCTCATGTGGATGGCCTTTGTGTTGTTTACTTAAATACCTGTTTGGTTTGTTTTTATGTTTCCTTGTATATAACATAATTCTCTCCATTTAGGTATGAGCATTCTGGTTAGTAGGACCTTCAATCCAGGAGAAATTAATTTTCTTGTCTGAATTAGATGCTCGGATTTCCTACTGCCTTTGGTATGTTGTAAATTCTTCATATTTTGTGGTTGGTTGGGTTGCCTTTTTGAAAATGTTGAGATTCTTATTCTAGTGTTTGACATTACTTCTCACATTTTAATGTTTATTATTTTTTTGGGGACATTTTGCTACGGATTGTACTAGTTTATTCGCTTCCAAGGTGGCTTAGGTTACACTTGCTAGTTGGGCTGGTTTATTAAATTATAATAGCTTCAACTGTTTAACATTAGAAGCCTAATGCTATTTCAACCTGCCCTTAATTCATGTGTATTACATATAGGTTTCTACTTTAAACACTAATATATGACTGGTTAGATGCGTAGCTTCTCAGTAAATTCTAGTGCAATATGAAAGAAAAGAGACAGGTATGAGATGTAGGACTTAAACAATTATGAAAATCATTGCTGATAATTTGTCTTGCAGTAGGGTACCCAAAATCAAATTCAATGTAGCATAAGTTCTTCAATCCATGACTCATATCATAGATTTGTTTTTAAGTAGCTGGGAATTAACCTTTCTCATCTATAGTGCACTTCAAACTTGAACATGATTCAAACATTAATTTGGTGGAGATATTAAGGCATTAATTTTAGCCAATTGAAGTTTCTTCCGCGCCAACAAGTTAACTACTTTTAAATGTTGGATAAATATATTTTGGACAATACTTTTCAAGTTCTTTACGTAGTTATATTTTAATTGGAATAGCTTCTTAATTAGTATTTAATGAAATATGAAATGAAAAAAATGGTAGAACCGACAACCAATTATGGATGCAATATAAGTAATGGTAATACATGGATTATGACATATTAATTATATAGTATATGATTATGATAATTGATTTTTGATAGGACATGCCTCTTATATATAATTTTACACTTACTGTTCCATTTTTCTTACCATTTCAGTGCGTGGAGATGTGCAAAGTGAGATTAAGATATGTAAGTAACTTTACATACCTCGTTTCATTTTTCTTGTTCATTAGTTATGCGGGATATTTACACAGCATTTTTGTTTATGGTTGTGGCAGGCTTATTTTTCACATATGCTAACACTATGGCACAACGAGAGATAGAGTGAGAAAGTGGCTTGAACTATGAGGCTTGATCAATAACTTGAAGATCTTTTTTGTGCTTTCATGAACTGTTAAGAACTTTTTGTTGATATAGTTTGTAGGATAATATTTCTTGTATAGTGAGTGTTTTAAGTGATTGAGGATCTTGTCAATTGTATAATGTTTCTTTATAATATATTGAATTTTTAAATCTCAGCAATAAAATATTTTTTACATTGTTCTCTTGCTATTATTTATCTACTAGGATGCATTGAAATGAATAATAAAAATATAATTGGTAAAATATAATTCAGATTAATCAAAATAATTATTAAGGAAGCCTTGCTAATATTTGACGGTTACTTCAAATAATTGTCAAATAAGCAAAGGCATATACTTGATAGTTATTTGAATAACTGTCAAATAAGTAGGAGAATACTTGACGGATATATGCCCCTGCTTATTTGATAGTTAAATAACCATCAAATAAAAGGTACCTCTATAAATGACGGATTTATATATGACGGTTAATAACCATCATTTATGAGTGAAAATAACTATTAAATATGCTCATTTTTGTAGTAGTGGCAGCATCCACTATAACGCGTGGCACAGTGAGAAAACTCTCACTGTTGCTCTAGCGTTATGTTTCGAACTGCTATTCTATCATTCAATCTTATCAATATAACAACAATCAACACAAATTATCAACTCGACTTTTAAATCATAATCAATCCACTAATTACTAACTTACCATTGATTAGCCATTAGTTTCTTGGATTGAAATTTAGAATGTTACAAGTCTCGCTTAAATCCCCACAGATTTCACATAAATAAACGTGCTCTGCCAATAATTTGGCAGCATCGAGCTCCACAATCTCAGAATTTTCATCGTCATGCTTCACCACTTCGTCATCCATAACCTTAATTTTCAAATTACCTTTCTCAGTACCAATAATTCAACCCTGGCCCCATCGAATGTACCGTATACGGTGGCTCCTGTAAGTCCCCTAAAGCCGTTGACAACAACATCCCGATGGTTGTCGAATTCTGGGAGTAAGAGACAAAGGTGGTATCGTTGATGATAATTTGGTGGACGGTCTAGATGATCTTGTTAGACATCATGTGCATTTGGTCCTCGCTTACTAAGGCTTGGGTGATGATAGATTCAGAAAGAAAACTTTGGAAAGAACCCATTCTTTCGGTAAATTGATTTCACTACTTCATTATGCTGTAAGGTCCGATGTCCTCCATTTCCGTGGTGGTTGATTTCATGACATCACCCCATCCTTTGCAAACCGTGAAAGGAAGAAGAAGAGAAGAGTTTAGATGGCTCGTGTGACATGTGGCATTTAAAATTGGTCCTGTTACATGTGGCAAACATCTGCTTGAAATTGCTCCACTTTTAATACTTATAAAGTAACATTGCTATTTTTATAAAGTAAGGATATCCATTGTTCCTTTTAAAAAACTTTTAAAATATTTTCGCCCATGAACCCTTTTAATTTTAACTTTTAAAACCAAAACTTACCTATAAAAAGATATATTGCACATCATGGAATCTTGCAAATAATCCATTAATACAAGATTCTTTGAAACTCATTTTGCCTCTATAAAAAATGGGGTTTCCATTGATTAATGTTTTACCCAATTGGATGTTAAACCAAAAATGTTAATGGGTCATGCTTTTTATGGTCATATTAGTTAGACCAATTAAATCAAAAGTATTATTAAATGTATTTAATATATATATATATATATATATATAAGAAATCAATCTACATTATATTGTTATTAAAAAATAACTCAACTTCACCATAAGTCAACATTATAAATTATTCTTTCTATCCTAAGTTATAAGACAATTTTAGATAAGATAATGCATACTAATAAAGCTCACTAATGATACTTTACAAATTTAATTTTTTAAAATAAAAATATAAATTTTTAAAAATACCTTTCATTTAATATAACTGTACACTACTCCCTTCAGTCCCTATTATAAGGTGTCTTTTAGAATGATTCATTAATCCTTAATATAAGGCATTTGGTGTGTCATTAATTACATTTTTCTAATATAACATCAATTTAAACTCATTAATTATGAGAGAAAATGTAAAGCAAAATTGAAAAATTTTAATATCTTGAATTGGAAAACTGGTGAATCCGTCACCTGGTCGAGCAGGTATGTGATTAAAAACTGATTTCTTGAAAATTGTTCTGGTTTTCAACTCAATTTCATGTTATGGCTCAATGGTGGCTTAATGTAGATCTAATTCTTAAAATAATGATATTACTGTTCTTTAATTTTATTCAATTTTATCCCTTCCTTATTTATTTATTTATTTTCGTTTATTGCCTTTGTTCAAAAATATCAAACATTTTTGTAATGTTGGATTGGTGTTAAAAAATATAAGATATTTTTAATTTTTTATTGTACAATCAATGAGCTTTTTCCAAAAATATATACTGTTATTGAATAAACTAAACCCTTTATCTCTTAGTGAGATATGAAAAAATTATATTAGTTTAATAACAATTGACTAACTTATTGAAGGTATAGCTCAGTTAAAAATGCCTCATATTTCTAAATTAATAAACAACACAATTTATCGTGGTCATTAATTATAAAGGAGAGCAAAATATTATTTTTCAATTTCAAGTCTATAACCATCATTAATGAACTTGCTTATTGATTTTCTTAGTTTACCATTTTTATATTTCTATCTTATACCATTATATCAATTTGCTCATAAACTCATACTAAATATAAATTCGATTTAATGTGACAATTGGCTTGCTAAATTTATCGTTTTTATATTCCTAACTTACAAAATTATGTTAACTCACTCATAAACTCATATCATATATAAATTCAGACGTCGTCAATTTTTTAGCAAGTTGAGAAAGAAAAATATGTAACGTGTAGAACTCAATTTATAAAAGTAGTAGGATCTAATTCAAAAATAAAAAATAAACTCAGCAAACAAAAACTAATATTAATAAAAAAAAAAAAGGAAACAATAAATACCCAAAAAATAACCCTATTTTAGAAATTTTTACGTTGAATATGATAATATATCAATATAAATGTATTTAATTTTAATAATTTATATTAAAATATATTTAAATTAAATTAAAATCAAATTATATATTTTAATTATTTAATTACATATTTTACTATATGAATTTACATTCTCCTTATGAGTTTATTTAAACTTGCAATATTTACAACCTCATTTTGCAACATCATTTGACTGTTTTATTTTTAAATTAAGCTCATTAAAATTCTCTTTCCTTCTAGCCTCTCAAACCAATGGATTAATGTCGATGCATTGTAGACCCGAAGGCGGACGCTTGGAATTTGGGTGCTTATTTGGCATCTCGTGATTGGCAATTTATACGTGGGAAAGAGATCTTTGACATAAACTGAGAGAGAAAGGAACTTTTGTTACATTCTCTTTCGCACTACAAATTAAGAAAAACTATTTATATTTCTAAAAAAAATTCTTTTCAAATTACTTTTCTTAATTAGGTTGAAAATTAATTTGCAAGCCCTCATGATTTTCTCAATTTTAAATTAAGTTCCTGTCATTTATTTTTCATTTTTTTGTCATCAACTTATTAGCATGTGTAATTTTTGTGTGATTAATAAAACTGATGTGTTGTTCTTGGTAAAAAAAATTTGAATTAAGTTCCTGTAGTTTATTTTATTTTAACCAAGTCCTTATAGATTAATTTATAAAATATGTTAAACCTCAAAAATTAAAATTATTATTAAATGATTACCTTTCTCAAAAAAATAAATTTACATAAAATTTTATTTAATAATTTTGGCTAAAAAGAAAAAATTTAAATTGATTTAATATAATACTTGAATTTTTATAAATTTTATAAAAATTTTAAATATATAAAAATTATTTAGAAAACATAACCAAATTATATAAATGTTCAGTTATAAAAAATTATACAATTAATTCTAAAGTTACATAATATTTTAGTAAAATTATAAACGTCATTAATTTATTTTTTTAAATGAAAAATTCAAGGATTTTAACTTTTAGGGATTAAGGACTTTATTAATTGAAACAAAATACTAAGCTATAGGAACCTAACTCAAAATGGAGCAAACTATAAGAACATATGGACTAATTTTCCCTAAATTTAATTTTAACTTTTGGAAAATCAATACAAATTTTTAACAAATTTAATGTAAATAAATTCAAATAGACAAATCTGTGATTGACAAAGAGCAGCCCTGGCCCATTCTTTTGCTCTCTCTTTCTCCATCATCGTTTTAAGCCGTCACTTTAGTTCTTAATTCTGATTGATTGTCTCCAAGAAAAGGTCGCATGAGCCGACATTCGTCTCCTGAATGTCCTCTTCACACTCTCAAACACACACTTAGACGAAAAGGTCCTTATTCGTTGCTCATCACTTTTTTTTTTTTTTCCCTTAACACTGTCCAAAATAATATTGAAATGGTACATTAACTGTTTTGCATTATGAGTTTCAAGATTCTTCCAAGACACTGTACTGCAGCCAGCATCAATCAAACTCTAATTTCTACCTATAGCCTGAATATTTAATCCTTACTAAATGATTGCCTATGATATAATCAATGTAATTCTCTCATACATTTATCCCAAAAACAAACTCTACGATGAATCTGATATTTTAGAAAGTAAACCTAGTGCCAAGAATCCTTCGTTCTACTAGCACCATTGGCGTCTTTGTGATGTTTATATCGTGGGTTTGAACCGTGATTGCAAATGTTTTTGTTGAGATAGAGAATTATTCTCCATTTATTTCTCTCACGATTTCTTTCATAGTATTGCAACCTAGTTAATCAAGTTTTGTTTGGGCTGGAGCTTTATTGGAGCTTTGTACACTCAAGCTCTAACTCTCCCTCTTCATGTTGCTTTCAGTATTTTGAAGGTTTAATTCAAGATTTCATCTAGTGATTCATTCTTTCAAAAATCACTCTCAAGTTTCCCACCAACTGAATTATGATTCATGCACAAGAAAATTCTTTGAAACCTCTTTCTGTCATACATTTGTTACATCAAGTGATACAAGTTGTTACAAGGGGGAGTGTTGAGAAAGAGATTTATTCTCAACACTTTTTTGACATAGTAGAAAATACCAATTCACTGTGTGACTGGAAAACTAGTTTTGTGTTATGAATATTAGGATATTATGTAGATGTCTATTATCTCAGATTCTTCAACATCTTTTAGTT